TTTTTTTACTTATTAAATGTTTTACACTTTCTTAACTTTTTTTACACTTTTAAATTTTTTTCTAAACTTTTCTTTTACCGTTAACTCCTAACTAGCAGTAAGCAGCACTAACAGTAAATTCCCCCCTTTCCCATAACTCCCACCCACTCCAGCTAGCAAAATATATATAGTTATAAAATATTTAAATTAATTAATTAAATAAATTGAACCCCTGAGGGTTAAAAAATAAATAAAAGTTAATCCTCAGGGTTAAAAGAAATTAGATTAGAGTATAATACTGTGATCTGTATTTTGATCACTGTAGGCAGTGATCTCATGGCAGGGAAGGGGTTAATTTTATTTAGACTGGGTAAAGGGGGGTGGTATTTTTTTTATTTACTTAAACGTTACTAAAACATTTTTTTTAAACTTTTTTTATCTTTTTAAAGCTTATTTTAAAACTTTTTTTTAACATTAACCCCTAGTTAGCCTAACACCAAATTCCCCAATTCCCCACTAACGTCCACCCATCCCAGCTAGCTAAATATATAATTTTTAAATATTTAAATTAATTAATAAAATAAATTTAACCCTCAGGGGTTAAAAAAAATCAGATGACATTAAAATGTATACCCTGCCAATAGATCACTGTAGTCAGCCTGTCAGAGCGAGCACCGGTGCTGGGGCAGCCCGATCGGGTGCTCCCGGTCTGCCTCTAATACAGAGGCAGACCGGAGCACCGTTAACCCCCCTGATTGCCGCGATCGCGGCGATCTGGGGTTAACTTTAGTAAATGACGGAAATTTCCATCAACGGTCCTCAACTGAAGGACAAGGTTGACAGAAAATTTCCGTCTGTGGTCGGGAAGGGGTTAAGCAACTACAGAATACATCTGTGCATTTCTTTTGAAATTAATTAATTTTGAATGTATTTTCCTAAGTAAATTGATGGATTTCTGAATTTACTATCTTTTTCAAGTGGATCTACATCACACTATCAAATGTTGGCAGCATTTCTAGAAGTTGAAAATAATTTTGATTGATTTTACTGTACATTGTACCACTGCTGCTTCTGAAGGCCAAGCACTGCTTCCCAAGGTACTAGACAATGGCTACAAGGCACTGAAAAACATTTTGTCAGTGTTACGTTTCTGTTTCCAATAACGTTTGGTAGACTAGTCAATAACTTTTCTTGACCCAAACCTTGTTAACAATTCCTTCCCGTCTCCCATAGCAGTGAGATGAAATGGGGGCACTTTATATGTGGCTAGACACTGGGACACATATTTCCAATCATTGTAGCCTCCAGTTGTCAGGCTCATTTGTCTGCTTGTAAAGAGTTTACAACAAAAGCAAAAAATAATGTTCAGTTTAGGAGAACAATTAGGCCGGTTTCTAAAATGCACTTCACCATTTCCAAGGCGTCGTCTATAGTAGGTTGATATAAACCATCTCTTTGATGCATCATTAGTAAATGAAAAGTGCACTTTTGGCTTTGCAGGACCTTTCATAACAATAGTTTATTTTAGTTCTCTATTAAGTTCTCAGGCCAGTCAGCTGAATTTGTGAAGTCTACCAGCATGCTCTTTCCATTTTCATATTCTGACGATGATGGCGATTTCTGTGAACTCTCTTTGTCAGTGTTTGTATTACTTGTAAATTCCAAAGAATGTTTGTACACAGTTGAAGTAGGAGGCAGTGGTTTAACACGTACAGCTTCACGATTCTCTTCAGTTTTGCACTCTAAGTTTCTTACAGCTTTTTTTTGTTACTGGATCATTTTAGAAGCTATTTCTTCTTGATGTCTTATTTTCTTTCAAAAAGCAGCACCAGACAATTTCTCTCATGCTGGTGGTATAGACATCTTACTCAGTAATCAAAATAACTATTGTGGAATAAATGTACATGAAAAATTATTAATATACATCATATTTTTCCTTTGATGCTCATGAGACAACAATAGCAGTTGAAAGACATTTACAGTGACTTTCAACTATTCCTACTGTGTGTGTGTGCACATGTGTGTAAAAGAGGCATATTATGTGTGTTTGTAAAACTATTGCTAGGTTTTGCATGTATGAGAGAAGTTGATGTAAACATGAATAATTTGAAATGGAGAGAGAGCGAGTGAGAGTGAGCACCCACCTTTCACAGACATGGGGGTCACAACACCTTCACAACATAATTACACAATTACACACACAGTCACACATATACACAGTCACACAAAGTCAGAAACAAAGTATTTAAATCTTCTATCAAGGTCTCACTTTGTAGCATGTAGCCACATGCTACAAAGTGAGATGGGGAGGATTGAGGTACTCTGTGTACCCCCTCCTTCCTATTACCTGGGGTTGGCATGCTGTTTTAGATCAAACCAAGTGTTTGCTTGAATATCTGCCCCCGTCCAGATTGAATAGAATGCATGCAAGCTCTGAAGTAAATCACACTGAGACACAGGTTTCAGATTACTGAAAAACTTCGGAATGTTTAATCAGGGGGGCGGCAAGCAGAAATACATCATATGCAGAAAGCAAGATAACAAAGAGAATACATCTTTCATTGGTCAAGTGTTAAGTGTACTTCCTCCAGGGTATGATGTCATCAGCATCCTGGGTGCAGCTCCGAATGGAGACGCCATCTTAATACATCCGTAAAAAACAAGCAATAAAAAGGCTCTAAAATTATAAGAAGGTGATATAATAAAAGTGTACTAAAATCCACAAATAAAAGGTAAAGCTGCACCTTTTAAGTGCACAAGCTCTAAACATACCACATAAAATACAAGAAAATATTAAAAAGGTGCGCTATACCTTTAAAATCTAAGTGCACAGTGCAAAGTGTCACATAAATGCACAAAAAAACACTCTTGCGAAAATTACAATATGTGCAAGAATTTGCAAGTGAAATACCGTGACAAAATATTATAAAAGTAACTTACAGCATAAAATATCACTTAGTTACTCCAAATGGGATGTAGAAATATGGTACATATGAAAAAGAAAAAAAAAGAAAAACATAGCATAATACTGTAAAAAACCCACCTTCAACTTGTCCCGCACACATCCGGAAATTTAGCCACCGACCAAAGGTTTTTTAAGGATACCACCGACTCCCGCGGAATAAATGGAATCCTTAACCCCCTTCAAAAACTCCTGATCCAAAAACTCGGCATCACTCTTCCTACCTTAGCGACTTCAGCAGCATCTTTTCTCTGATCACCGGCATTCTCTCTTTTTGTCCCCAACTGCCCCACCAACCCGCTTGCCCTTCCCTGCTTGAAACACTTACAGAGGCTATGGGAACCCCCTGCATCCTGGACATTAATGCCTGAACCTGCAGGAGGAACCCCACTTACACTGGCTGTTATTAAACCTGCACCAGAGCCGCTCCCTCCCTTTTCTCCCCCCAGCCCCACCGGGAAAGGGCTTAGCCTTCTGGGCCATCATGAGCTTAAACCACAACGTGATGTCCATTTGATCCCAGCTGGTACCAGGATTCCCTGCCAGGTGCTGATGAAATTGCTTCTCATAGTGCCACCAGGCAAGCCCCCCATAAATCCTATAGCCCTCCCAAATCCCATCCAAATAACAAATGAGAGCCGAACACTTGTCCGGTGCCTTTTCAACAATTACACTGGCCAAGATACAGAAACCCCGGAGGCAGTTCCCAAAGGTCTTTGGCAACTTCCTATATTTTTTTCTTCCTCTCCACCTCCTCCTTCTTGCCCTTATCCTCTTTTTTCTCATCCTCTTTCAGGTCCACTGTTTCTTCCAGAGGAAGCAATGAGAACATCTCTAGGTACTCACCCTACCAGATGTGCTCCTTGATATCTGACTTCAAATGGACCCCCATGGGGCCAGAGACAGAGATATAAGAATTAAGGCAAGCCGCATCCGGCACCCCTTCTAATACCACCTCTGCGCTCTCCTCGCCCTGCCCTACCTTAGATGCTCCCATTCCTGCCTTGTCGTCAGCCACCAGCGCAGAATCAATCCCCCCCAAGATGTCTCAGCATTGTGCACCCACACCCCCGACACAGTCTGTGGGACCTTGGCCCCAGTGCCCCTCCCCCAGGAGTGTAAAAAAGCCTGTAGGCCTGCCGGTAAGCCAGTCACCCCTTCAGTGTGCCCCTTCCCTCCTGTGAGTGCCGTGTCATAAATAGAGTTGCCCTCACTATTGTTGACTCCATCCGATGGGTACTCCCGATGTGGAACTCCAGGATCCTGTCCACCTTGAACTTCCGAGGACTTCCGACTTGCCACTCCAGGATCTTGCGTGCCATTAACCGTCAGCTCGGCTGTGGCTGTGTCCAAATGCCCTTGACCCTTGCTTCTGGTCGTGGGGCTCCGACATTGTGGAAGGCGAAACAGATCTGGGGAGTGCTGCCTCTTAACATCTGCCCCCCATCCAAGACCAGGAACTACCTGAGGGAGCGCGAGAGGACCTATCGTGCCGAAACCTATCTCCACCTGAGGAACCCCCCCTAAATGTCACCCAAACCGGATCCTGGATCAATAACACTTTTCCCTTCAGGCCTGCTCACCACTGCCTCCAGTGGCTGCAACCCAGCGATCCTACTGCTCCCTGCTGCCTCCAGTGGCCAGAACCCAGCACTCCTGCTGCTCACCTCAGCCTCTTGTAGCCAGAGCCTGGAACTCATGCTGCTTGCCACTGCGGTGGCTGGATGACCGCACTCCTCCTTCTGGCTCTCCTCCCGCCCTCCACCCTGGCAGCCGTCCAAGAAGGGGTCTTGGACATCGGGGGCCTCGCTATAACCGGCTGCGGTGACCTCCAGCAGCCATAGCGGATCCTATGCCCTGCCTACTCTGCTCCCTGCCTCTCCTGACAGGCTGCCTGTGGCCCACTGGATCCTCTGGGTTAAGGCTCTGAGGAGGCTTCATCCTCCCCGCCGGCAGCACCACTGGTCCTCCCGCCGTTCTCAGCACCGCCATGATGACCTTGAGGCACTGCCGAGTCCAGACACACACCGGCACGCAGATCTCACCCAACAGCCTCTCCATGACCGGATCCACTGCTGGTTCCATGCTACCACTACAGTTAAGACAAAAAAGGGGGAGGGGGCAAGAGCCACACAACAAGGGGACAGAGAACACACACAGAGAACACAGAAAGGACAAAGATACCGAGAGAAAGAGAGACAGAAAGGAACCAGGGGGGACAGCACAGAAGACAGATACACAGAGAAAACAAAACAGAAAAGAACAGATCAAAAGAGATAGATTGACAGCTTTACCCATTAAATGGCTGCCGTGTAACGGTGCCCAACCCCTATATACCTTTTATCCTCCTAACACCCCACTCCGACACCCTCTCTACCAATCCCTACTGCCTTGCTCAGTACCCTCCTCTGCCTATGCGTCTCCATGGGGCTGCAGGGTGGACATCTATGCAACCCTGGCAAAGAACACTATATACAAGAAGAAGAAGGTAGCTTCCATGACACTTTATTTACTTCCTACCTTTTCTTTATCGTTTTAAACATTAATTTATTATGAAATCTGTAAGTTATCAGTATACCAACTCTTCATCTACTATTGCAAAATGTAACATGTAAATGTAAAATTGTTGAGATAAGGTCAATTTATGTCACGTGTCTTATCTTACCAACCAGTTAATTGTCATTCACAGGTTCACGTCTTACATAGTTCTGTCTTCTGAAATCGGAATTGGAGTGCCTGGACCTTTTACTTCAACTGGTATTCATATTCTATTGGTCCCAGTTTAGCACCCAATTAGCTTGGGGATTGAGTGCAATTCCTGTAATCTGTTTCAGAAATCAGAATAGACACAAATCACATTTAAAATGGAATGTTGAATACATTTTGAATATGTTCATGATAAACCCTTCATATTGTGTCTACCTTCTATGATCACTTATGTATTGCTTTCCTGAGAAAGAAAACCTTATACTGATTAAAAGCTGAGCAAGTATCACAACTGTAATATGTTATATAATGTACAGCATTCTTATGATATGGATATTCTGTAGTTCGCTTTTCTTTGGATGACTATATCATGGCTGTGGCAGTGACAAAAATAAAATAAATGTTGGTTTTGGTGTAAATGCTGTGTAAAAAAAATGGAATTATTATTTGATTTATATAAGCCTTTAAAACACATTTGCTGACAGTACGTGTGTTTGATTTTCTCATTATAACATAATAATTTTTACCCTGCACCTTTATCTATAGCTATTAACTACTGCATCTCATTCCCCTTTGAATTGGCTATCTTGCTATTTATAACTCTGCCTGCCTACCAAATCTTCAAGATTAATCCTCTCATTGCTTCAATCAATTACTTTTTACCTCCCACCCATGCAAATTTCTTGCTCTTCTATACAGTCATTCATTGCTTACAGTATATCAGATCACTATCAATCCGCAGCAGAATATGTCTTTTATAATCATCTTTCACCCTGGAAGTTCAGAAACCTGTCTTTCAATTCCCACAAATATATATAACCATGGTTTAGCTAGCACTACCACCACTTTGTAAATTGTTCTTTTCAAATAGTTTTTATTTTTTTTTACTTTATAAATACAACTAGGGAAAAGGGTTCATAAAAAAGGGGGAAACATTTCTCCAACCAAAACAATATATGAAGTCTGTCCATAAAGTATCCTGCCATGTATAATGAAAAATAAAGACATTTACTGAAGAAGATAAAATATACAAGAAACATTGTACACAGGACAATGAGTCATTGGTCCCCTTCAAAGTAGGTACCTTGGGACCTCACACAGTTTTCCCAGCGTCACTTCCACTGTTCAAAACAGTCTGCAAAATCCTTTGTTGGAATCGCTATCAGCTGCCTCATCATATTTACCTGAATCTCATCGATGGTCTGAAATCTCTTCCCTTTCAAAGGTGATTTTAGTTTTGAAAAAAGCCAGAAGTCACAGGGCTACAAATCTTTCAACAGATTCTCAACCATCTTTGAAGCGTTTTTGCCACACTTTAATTTGTGCTGCACTCATTGCATTGTCTCTGAAAGCCTTCTAAATCATCAGAAACATTTATTCTGAGAAATATGGAAGCTAAATGCAAAATTTGATGCAGATTTGTTGCTCTATTCACTAGTCATTGTGTAAATGCGATGACAACACAGTGCACATGCTCACTCAACGGCGTCTAGCACCCCCACTGATTAGTACAGTGAAGTCATCATTGTTCACGCATGCGCATTCCAGTCCACTCTCCTTGGCTGCCAGGCTACATCGATATCGCACAAACCATTCTCATTATATTAACAATGGCTGTTTTTTTCCAGGCAGACCTTGTATATATAAGTATATTTAAGAAGGTAGGATCTTTAATACTAACACGGGCCCTAATCATTAAACTATAGAAGATTGTTCTGAAGTAATCAAGTGGATTTAAAGAAAACCCTACAGTCAATTTTTGTAGATGATGAAATAACCCAAGTGTAGAGAATAGATAAAAAACATTCCAAATTTTCTGCCATAATTACAAAACTAAAAAAAAAAATCAGATTTTGAGATAGTTCATCTATTTTGGCTTAAGATTTGCACTCCTCAAGCTAGTTCTCTATAATTCCTGGTTTAGTAAATAAGCTTCAAAAAGCAATTCATATAAAACAGAACTGTGACTGCGTTATCATAAATTACATGGAAAATAATCTCTATATCTATTAAGCCTTCTGCTTTATTTAATTTTCTAAAAGGAAATTAAATTTGCATTGTTAAGAATGATGTGCTTTTCATGACCTGTGCAATAAAACACAGGTTAACTGCCCTTCTTTTGACGTGCCCTATGTCAACATTAGCCATATGCTGCTTGTTCTTCACAATTCTTCTTTTCAGTTGATTCTAGTTTGTAGCGAATGGGGCCTTTACCTGAAAGACATACAGAGGGAAGTACATATAAACATAAATATTTATCAATCTTACGTGCTGGAGTTTTTGGCCTTTTTGGGCCTACAGCAGCACGTTTGATGGGTCTAATGATAAAGTTACAAATTAAGTACAATATATGTGTAACATACAGCAAACTAAACACCATCCAGGTGGTCACTGAATTCTCACTCCTGTGTTATTGCAATGTTACATATGGGTCTTTAAGGCTGTGCACAGGAAACACAGCCACCAAGCACAGTACAGTATGACTGCTATGCTGTAATTGGTAAACAATAAATATAAAATACAATTTCAATAATGAGTGGAGCATGGAATAAATTTTAAAAAACTGTACATTTACATTTACTTGACAAAGACCTCGTAGAGGGTCAAAATGTTGCTGATCTGTCACATTTTTTGACCCAATAAATCTGCCTTTGGTTTGAAACCCTAAGTGCCTGGAGACTAGTCTTCTGTTATGAGGATTGTGGGATTGCTGGTCCTGCTCCAATGCACCTGGTATCCACTGGAATTGAGTGCGGCTCCTCTGTTTATTAGTGTACATTTACATTGTGGCTGAATAGGGCCTTTTTCAACCCATGTTCCTGGAGCTGCTGATCCAGTAGCCCTTATGGTAATCACGCCTTGCTTACTTGGATAATCCCATGCCATTTCTAGTTACTAAGAATTGTGGCTCAAACTTAGGGACACTTAGGGAAACGTCATACTAACATAGGGGCGTTAGTTGTCATACTAAGAAAAAAAATTCTATTGCCGGTGTTAGAAGAGTAACATACTGACATTGGTTCCCTGGGGAAAGTCTTACCACACAAATTTCCATTAAATATGGTAAACATAAACATTCAGTACTGTTGTACAATTATGTTTCCTGTCCATCTTCATCCACAGCAGAAATGAATGATGTTGTTAAGAGCAACTGCACATGTATAGAACATGTTTTTAAAAATATCTAGTTTAAATGTTTCAAAGACATGCCTAGTATGTGTCTGGAGTGGATTTTTATACACTGGTACATTTAATCTCCAGTAGAGCACATGAGCTGTACATCCTGTGTATTATAGTTAAAAAGTCTTCCTGCATGGTGATGTTAGTTTTCATGTATGTGCACATCTGATCCAGAGTGTTGTGAATACAATCCTGTATTGTGAAGTGTGTTTTTTTGCTGTTGTTGCTTTTTTTTGTTTACTTATTGTTTTGGGGGGAGGCCGGGGTTCTGCTCTTTCTTTGTAGGAAATTTATATTTCAATACTATATATGTAAATTATTGTATTTGGTTAATGTCCTTAACGAAACCTAAACAAACCTTAGTAATCTTGCTGATTGAGTTTCTGTGGAGTAAATATGCAAGCGTAAAAATACGTATTTACTTATGGGTTGGTCAACAGAAAACAAAAATATGTTCACTACATCTCAGACAATGTTTATTTTTTGTCTAAATTAAGAAAGATCATTAAAAAAGAAATGGTATATGCCTATCCAAGGTATTAAAACCCAGCTGTCAGGGTGAAAGAGAAAAGTTTTAACCCCTAGTCTAGAAGGCAACTCACATGCAACAAAACTCAGTTCTAATACCAGCAGTGTATGTCTGCTAATAATGTGTCACCCAATACCAGTGTTTGCTGAAACCACGTATCCCAGTTCAAGAATTGTGTATCTGCTAAAATTGTATCTCCCCAATCTCAGTACTGTGTGTCTGCTGAAAATATGTCCTTAAAGGGCCACTCTAGGCACCCAGACCACTTCAGCTTAATGAAGTGGTCTGGGTGCCAGGTTCCTCTAGGATTAACCCATTTTTTTATAAACATAGCAGTTTCAGAGAAACTGCTATGTTTATAAATGGGTTAATCCAGCCTCTAAAGCCTCGAGGCGTTTGCGCGCTTCTCACTGTGAAAATCATGAATGCTTTCCTATGAGACCGGCGCATGCGCATTCAGCCGAAGAGGAGGATCGGAGGCGAAGAGGAGGAGGAGAGCTCCCAGCCCGGCGCTGGAAAAAAGGTAAATTTAACCCCTTTCCTCTCCCCAAAGCCCGGCGGGAGTGGGGGCACCCTCAGGGTACTATAGTGCCAGGAAAACGAGTATGTTTTCCTGGCACTATAGTGGTCCTTTAATGCCATCACTGTGTCATCTCCAATACTAGCACTGTGTATGTCTGTTAAAGCATGCTGTCAGACCATCCCAGGTTTTCAGGTGAAGTCCCATTATTATCTTGCCCTGCATCCCCATGTCATGATTCCCTTTTATTCCAGAAGTTTGGTCCTTAAGGGGTTAAATACCTATTTAATACTTTTTTACTGTATTCTAAGGTAATATACTATGCCAGAGAAAAGACTAGTGTAACTCATTAAACCAAGCAGGCTCCTGAATATTGAGTAATACATACAAATAAATCAGTGGCGGAACTACCACAGTCGCAAGGGTCGCAGCTGCAACCGGGCCCGTTACTCCAGGGGTACCGGCCGCCCTGCTGATCCCTGCGACCATGAGCCGCCGAGAGGAGCCCTCTCACAGGAGGCACAGGAGGTGGCCATCTGGCCACCTTTGGGCA